AGTGCCGGATCCGGAGGCGAAAAGACAGTTGAAGAACTTACTACGTCGGCTCATGAGCTCTATGTCGCCGTCAGATGGTATCGACCTTCTGGTGTACTGCATGTCGTCCAGCAGAATGCCTGGCCTTACCACCATCGTTCAGACCTACGACATGTTTTACTCTAGGACCTGCAGGAAGAAGGTCCCAATCGTCATCGTCATCACAGGATTGGAGAACGAACCGAACATGGAGAGCTGGTGGGATGAAAACAAGGGTAGGTTTGAGAGAGAAAGCATGCATTTCACAGACCATGCTTGTGTCACGGCACTTCAGGAATACCCAGACATCCCGGACGACGTCACTCGTCGCATTGCAGAGTCTAGCGACACTCTACACAATCTTCTTGTCAACAATTGCTCGCATTGAGCTGTCAATATTTCAATGACGGTTGGTCCAATCGTGTTGCTGGATTGTGCTGCGCGTTGTCGCTGTGGTCAAAAGATTGATGTTCCTGTATATGTTTCTTTCCTTTTTATATATAGTCAGTGTTACTCCTTTCTATTCATTTTGGTTCGCCATCTCCACACCATCCATACATTTTTTAAGATAATCTAATTTATTCAAAGTTGTCATGAATTGCAGACTAGCCCTCTTCCTTGGATACAGCATCACCTCACTTGTGTCCTTTGATCGGAGATTGAGGTTGAAAAAATCAAGCTTATGGATCTTGTACAGCGAAGAACGTAGCTGCTGGGCGGGTAGGAGAACATGAAAATCGCGTCATTCATAGCTGTTGGGCATACCTAAGTCCTTTGTCGACCAAACAAATCCTGCATCTAAATATCGTTGGATAAGTACGAAGTGTATTACAAAACACTGTGATCAAGAACTATAAGTGTGGCACCAAACTAGTCCACAACACCGTTTGGTATGCGCCAGAAGGAAGATCGCGTAAAGTGGTGAACATAAGTACCAAGAGGACGCCACGAGCTGTGATGTACAACATGATATATGGTACATAGAGCAGGATAAACCATGTAAGTGACGCGTCCAGAGCTGCAAGGAGCGGTGCAGTGAGTAAACCAAGCCAAGGCGTGAACGTTATAGCGACGGCACTCATGCGCCATAGCACCTGTTCCTGGTATGTTGGGAAAGCAAAAAACCAAGCCATACAATGGATGCCGCCAAATATAGTCGCCATAAGCAATCCAGCGAGCAAAAGAACGTGTTTGTGCAGTTGTTCGAGTTTGATGCTACCATCAAACGTTGGAACTTGGAGCTCTCGAGATGTGGGAATACCAGGAAAGCCTATCAGTTCTAGCATTGGGCGCAAGACTGGAGCCAAGATCCCAAACTGAGCGATTTTATCTTCTTCACTGACACTGAAACATACATAGTAATCAGTAGCAGTCTACTTGTTGAAGCGCATACATACCCAATGACATCCCCTGGCGTCACGATTGACTTTGACTTGGTTGACTTCCAGTACACTGGATGTGGACATTGCACATTGAGAGGCTTGTCCCACCACGCAGCATAAGTTAGGAAATTGAGAACCGCAAAAGCGAGTGTCCCCACTTCGAGCTGGGTGGTTTCTAGGTGATAGATGGCGCGGGTGATGAGCTGCATAACAAACCAGGCTACTTGAAGGATAACCAATCCTTTTGATATCGCATTGCCTTTGCTCCTGTCGTGGATCTGGTCTGCCGTTAGGATAGGGACGTCGATACGCCTCTGACGTATCAGTGTGAGAATGTGATTTGGTTGTAGTGTACGGCTTGCGGTACGGTGGGGTTTCCCATTCGCATAAAGCATGAAACCACCCATCAGCACAAAGAAGCTGTGCGTCTGGGTCCACGTAAAATCTAAGGATGCACATGAGCCAAACATTTAGGTGAGCACGGATCCGTCTTACCTTCTAAACCAGACTCGGGTTTCTCTGACTTACTATACCACGATGCGGCCCACCTCACAGGAGAACAAAGGACATGCCAAAGAGACTTCAGCACAAATAATATACCTTGAGCGAGCAGGCGAAAGAGGCAAACAAAAGCCAAGAGAATGTCTGGAAGTAAGCGATTTTCAGTTTCAGGTGCTCCAACAGAGTTCTTTTCTAAGAATATGTATAGTGAGTTGCGAGATGCAGAGTTTCCAAAAGCACGACTCACCTTCAGACTCTGGACGAATGTTGGGATACCTCAAGTCCTTAAACTGATTTGTAATTCGATCCGCGCTCAACCACTGTCGCATAGCCCAGGTGACGATCAGTTCAGGAGCTATCAATGCCATTATAACCATGCGAATTTGTCGCCATAGGCCATGAAGCTGGCTGGTGTGCTTAGGACTCGGGATATTGGGGTGGATGGCACTGTAGACACATGCAAAAATAGTGAGAACGGAGCTAGAAATGATGCTCCATAGGGTTCTTGTCGTGAATGATGGTGCTTTAAGACTGTCGCTAGTAGTAGTGTTTGTTGTATTTGTTGTAGGTGCAGCTTGGGTCACTCCAACGAGGAGGAGGATGCAGAGAAGTAGTAGTAAGCGCATGATTCAGACAGATGGGCTTATCGTATCCATCATGTTCACTATTTTTATTTTACTGGCAAGCGTTAGTACAACGAGGGTAGACTGAGAATAGGCTGGTCTTATCTCTTGAGCGTTCCGATGTTCACGAAAACAAGATACGTGAGGCCCTCTACATCCCTTACTCTTCCCAAGATTTGGGAGCAAAAAGTACTTCCTGAGAATGGTAACGAGACTCCGGGCAAACTAAATGTGTATATGTGAGCGTCTGTTCTAATTCTGCTCGACAGCGATGTCAGACTTGAAGCAGTTGTCCCAATCTGAAAGGTGCCAATGACTCGGATTAAGTACACGCATGTCCAAAGGCAGGATTTATGTGATTTACCTTCTAGTGTGTTTGCAATCCATCAACCCTATTGTAGATGCAGTTTGGATTATATCTCAACGAGGTAGAAGAAGATACAGGAAAGTAGTGAGCGCGGGTGTATCACGCCGGTATGTTCCGACTCATTTGTATTTTGCTAGCGGACATCATCTCAAGGCGCCCAGTACAGTGTACGGTGAAGCACATGCCTTCAGTTTAGGAGCCGATGTTTCACTATTCCAATCGCCGCGGCCTCGTAGGCTTCTATCTGCCGCTACTAGTACGATTCGCAATCATTGCAACCCGGCATTGACTCTACCCAGCCCGAAGTCAGCGTCTAGATTCAGTGCGCAATGGCCCTTGAGCAAATTAGATTTCCATTCAATATCCACTGGGTACTACAGCTGAAGCGCTGACGCTAGGCCACCGCTCATTAACCTCTATATAAATTTACAGTAGCTCAGAGTTTCCCTAAATCAAATCACCATGGATAATACTTTTCGCGCCTCCGAGTCAACGGTTCCCTATCCTCTCAACGTCTCTGGTACTCAATTATTGTTATTAAGCAGTATCATAAACTCCGCTGAACACATCCAATAGGTATTACCATCGATTTCAAGGAGTCAAAAATGGATATAGAGTGTGCTAAAGTATGCATGGGCGAACTTCAATTATGCAGTGTGCCGCAGAGTGTGCCACTGATTGGATGTAACCAAAAAAAGAGATTGCGATGGTCATTTTCTCCGCCCTGGTAAGTACTCGACTCCATTACACATGTTCTCAGAGTCTAAGTTGCTACTGTGCTTTCGCTCTAGGGTGCTTTCTTATGGGGATAAATTTGACTTACATATGGATTGTCTTAACAAGGCGTCATATTATAGTTCGAAGACCGAAGATTTTCCTTTGAACCCAGATGACATCTTCCATGCGTATGGTGCCAGCCAAGGACAAGGTGGAACAAGAATAATTGCATTTTTACCTTTGTTACTCATGAACTCAACCACACATGCGTAGACTACACCACGTATCATAACAAAATCAGAATCGACGTCCAGTTTTCCAGGAACGCAACTATTCCTCGGTGAGTCAGAATGATCATCAAGTGTCTTTTTTGAGGTTAACGCTCCAAAGATTCCGAATTCTGGTGATAGGAGAGGTATATGGCTTTCTCTGATCTTAGCCCAGTGTTGATGTCGTGCTTTTAACAGACTGGCGTCGGCAAGTCATCGCTGATCAGCCACGTATTTGGAGTGGAACATATGGTGGGCTGAACGCGACGCTTCAACGAGCACAGCTACTCATACTGTCAATAGATCGATCTGCATGGGACCAGCATTGATCACGAGTTCATCTCACCTCAAAACGACAAGTTTGTTCTCCACAGTAGCAAAGGTTTTGGACTCAGAGACAACCTCGAAACAATCCGAGATTTCATTGACCGTCGGAGGAACATGTCTCCGGAGTTGCATGCTGTTTGGTAGGGATTCTATCTCGACCATTCTGTTATGGTAGACTGACCAAATACATGGAAGGCTCTGCCTTGAGACACCCCCTACAGGCGGACGTTTGCTAGACACAAGAACGGAGGAATTTCTGACATTGAAACGTAGTGGAATACTGGGAAATGGTGAGTGAATCGATAAATATCTCTCTCCTATGTTAGAGTTCACACTTTGTCAAAGTTCCCGTCATTGTCGTTCTTACGAAATACGATAGGCTCGTCGACCGCATGCAGCTAACTCTAGATAAAACTTCTCTCGAAGGATTGAGCGATGAAGCTATTCAGGAACTCGCCAAGGCAAAAGCAGAAGTGGAGCTCCAGGATATCTGCATCGGGCCTCTAGAGAAAAATGCAGGGCCTAATACTATTCCCCACGCTGCGATCTCTAGTGTGTACCAATACTTCATCTAGTTCGTGCGTGCCTCTGAAGTGCAATATCGCAGCCAACGAAGACTATAAGAAGACACTCACCCACCTGATTCAGATGACTGAAAACTGTGTCAGTCAGCATTCTGCGTCTGAGGCTGCAGTGATGACCTCCATCCGAGTCGCTCAACGAGTGGATCCTGGACTCAAAATAAAGGCATCATTCGAGTGAGTCTTGCTTGCTTCATTCATTCATATTTCGTGATTTACGCAGCGTCAGGGTTGGCAAGAGAAGTCTGTCCCAGTTTCTGGTTGACAATAACTGAATACAATCTAATCTTCTTGTCTTGCAGAATGTCGGAAGACGCTTTCATGTTGTTGCTGTTGCACGATATTCAAGAAGCCCAAGATGTGGGATTTTCTACATGTGCTTCATACTGACATCGTCAATGTGTGGAACTTCTATGACCTTCATCATGTAATGGCTATCTTATTTGTCGTCTTTGCATCCGCCCTAACATGATTTGTGTATAGCACTTGCTCGGCCAAAATTTCAGGGAATCGATGATGGAAATGGTCGAAGTTGGACTTACCAATGGACGTCGACACTTCTTCAGCCACGCGCCAGTGATTCAGCACTTCATGTCCTACACCGTCCACTTAACACTTGTATTGCAGACACTTTATTTCGTGTCAGAAGGCCGGGAACTCACTTATAGGGCCATCAAGCTCGCGGTCTCTTCCTACCTTGCCTCCCCATTGAGAGGAGAGGCTCGTGCTTGGATTCAGGCTTGTGATAGGCAATTGACCATCCTGGATCGCGTGGATCGGGATAGAATTGTTGAGGTGGTGCGATCTTATAGCATCGATGCGATACAAAGGGTCAAGCTTCAACCCGAACTTCTGGGAAACATTCATACACCAAGGAGAAGAGGTGCGCGTAGCATCGGCAGATCCCATTACAGTGGTCCCCATCGCGACAGGATTACCAGAGAGGCTCCCACAAGGAATAATAGTCCCGAGAGAACTAGTATGAGAGAGTGGGCTCCTGATCCTCGCAGATTTCCACACAGAGCCCCCAGTCACAGATACAGAACTCCCACTCCTAGCAGAATTACCAGAGAGGCTCCCAGAACTCCCAGAACTCTTAGTCCTGTCAACATTTCCCGAACTTCCACCATAGAGGCTCCCAGAGCTCCCAGAACTCTTAGTCCCGCCAGCATTTCCAGAACTCACAGTCCCGACGGAATTACCAGAGAGGCTCCCAGAACTCCCAGAACTCCCAGTCCCGTCAGCGTTTCCAGGACTTCCAATCCCGACGAAATTACCAGAGAGGAGGCTCCCAGAACTCCTAGTCCCGTCAGCATTTCCAGAACTTCCAGTCCCGACGAAATTACCAGAGAGGCTCCCAGAACTCCTAGTCCCGTCAGCGTTTCCATAACTCCTAGTCCCGACAGAATTACTAGAGACTCCCAGAATTTCGAGAACTCCTAGTCCTGACAGAATTACCAGAGATGGTCCCAGAATTCACACCCCCGATGCCAGAATTCCCAATAGCAGAATTCCCGCTACCGATTGGGATTTCCAGTCCCGAAATTCCCGATACCAGAATTCCCGCTACCCAAATTGCCAGAGAGCCCAGAGATTGACCAAGGAGAAGAGGTGCGCGTAACATCAGTGAATCCCCTGACATGGTGGAGCAGGTGGATGTTACACCAAGGAGCAGAGGTGTGCGTAGCATCAGCGAATCCCCTGGCATAGTGGAGCAGATGGACGTTCACGACGTCACTCGAGCATAGTTTTATTGCCTTTTTCGGTTTCGCTACTTTATCACGTTCCGTTCCAACATCATTTCAAGATATAGCCCTGACGCGCCTCCCTGGACCTGTTATTCCGTTAGCTTCTCTAAATTATAGTATTTCGTCTATCAGTCTTTCGTTCTCTAGATTGTCGTGTCATGTTCTCCTTCAGTCTCTCGGTCCGCAATCTTGCAAATATTTCGAATTTTATATTTGGCCATCCGAGTCTACGCTCACATAATAAGCTCAATCAATCCTTCCACTCCATCCTACATCACAAAACTTGCTCAACTCAGACCGGACCATGTATGGTGATGTCTACGGTATCAGGACTGCTGGGTATATCGGCTGCCAGCCCAGGTGTCTTGTCATCCTAGGGAACGCTCACTTCAATCAACATACATAGAACACATGCCAGTCCCCGAGTAAGCAGCGCCAGTCAGCCGCAACGTACCAAACAGCCCAATTTCGCCACCATCCAGATGATAAGCAAGTTCAAGCAAGACTTGAATAGTCTAACGTTTGTTCGGTTAGTCTGATGCCACGCCTACAGTGATCGCATCGTTCATAGCTGTTGGATGTACCTAGGTCCATCGTCGACCACACAGATCCTGCATCCGAATATGATTAGATAAGTACGAAGTGTACTACAAGTACCGTGATGAGGAACTATAAGTGCGGCACCAAACTAGTCCACAACACGGCCCTGTATGCGTCAGGAGGAAGATCGCGTAAAGTAGTAAACATAAGTACCAAGAGAACGGCACGAGCTGTGATATACAACATGATACACAATGCATAGAGTACGATGAAAATTAGAAGTGGTGTGTCCAGAGCTGCAAGGAGCGGTGCCATGAGTAAAGCAAACCAGGGCGTGCCAGTTATAGCGACGACACTCATGCGCCATAGTACTCGTTCCTGGTATGTTGGGAAGGCAAGAAACCAAGCCATACCATGGATGCCGCCAAATATGGTTGCCATAAGCAATCCAGCGAGCACAAGAACAATCCTGTCCACATTTCCGAGTTTGATGCTACCATCAAATGTTGGAACCTGGAGCTCCCGAGAGGTGGGAATGCCAGGAAAGCCTATCAGTTCTAGAATTGGACGTAAGATTGGAGCCAAGATTTTAAACTGGTGGGTTTTATCTTTTTCAATGTCACTAAGGCAGACATAATCAGCAGCGGTATAATTCTTGAGGCGCATACATACCCAATATAACACTCGGGTGCCGTAGTTGGATTCGAGTTGGTTGACGTTGACTTCGAGTTGGTCGACTTCAAGCGCACTGGATGTGGACATTGCACACCGAGAGGCTTGTACCACCACGCAGCATAAGTCAGGAAATTGAGAACCGCAAAAGCGAGTGTGCCCACTTCGAGCTGGGTAATTTCGAGGTGATAGATGGCGCGGGTTATGAGCTGCATAACAAACCAGGCCACCTGAAGCACGACCACTGCTTTCGATATTGCATTGCCCTTGCTCTTGTCGTCGATCCGGTCTGCCGTTAGGGTAGGAACGTCGATACATCTCTGACGTATCAGTATGAGAATGTGCTTTGGCTCTAGTGTACGGTGGGCTTTCCTGTCCTTATAGAGCATGAAACCACCCATGAGCACAAAGAAGCTGTGCGTCTGAGTCCATGTATAATCTAAGGATGCACATGAGCCAACGTCTAGGTGAGCACGAATTGGGCTTACCTTCCAAGTCAGACTCGGATTTCCCTGGCTTAATCCACCTTGCGACCCACCTCGCGGGAGCACAAAGAACATGGCAAAGAGACACAAGCACAAATAATACGCCTTTAGCAAGCAGGAAAAAGAGGCGAATGAAAGCCAAGAGAACGTTGAAAAGGAAGCGATTTTCAGTTCCGGGAGCAGACTCCTTTACTAAGGACGTGTATAGTGAGTTGTGAGATGCAGAGTTTCCAAAAGCACAACTCACCTTCAGACTCTGGACGAACGTCGGGATACCCCGAATCCTTGAACTGTCTTGTAACTTGATCAGCGCTCAAGTACTGTCGCATAGCCCATGCGACGATCAGTTCAGGAGCGATTAGTGCCATTATCATCATGCCAAGTTGTCGCCATAGGATAGAAGGGTATCCGCGGTGCTTAGGACTCGGGATATTGGGGTGGATGGCACTATAGATGCATGCAAAAAGAGTGAGAATAGAGCTGAAGATGATGGTCCATAGGGTTCTAGTCGTGAATGACGGGGCTTTAAAACTGTCGTTAGTAGTAGTATTTGTTGCATTTGTTGCTTGGGTCACTGCAACGAGGTAGAGGAAGAGGCAGAAAAGCATAACTGAACGCATTATTGGATTTCACTCTAGGGTGCACCACGGTATGCATGGCATCCTATTCACTGTTTGTATTTTAGTACTAGCGGGCGTTATCTCAAGGCGATGAGTTTGCGGCATGGCATGTATTCACGAGTCGTAACGCCGTTATCAGTCAGACTTACTCGGATCTTTACTGCAACGAGGCTGCGTACCTTATCTCATACCGATTCCCAGCGGTTTCTGGTCAGTACCACTGATCGGTCCTCGGTTCTTCTGCACTCAGTCAGCGTCTAGATATGGGAGATATTATGTAACATTGATATAGCGTACCGTACGCTGCCTTTATTTGAAATTATTAGTTGCAAGCGTCTAACTAGTAAAGTTCTTCCCCAGCCCCCATGAATATCTACAGGGTGCACGAGGGTGCGGCATCTGGACATAAATTTACAGCAGCTCAGAATAGACTCCTCCCTAAATTAAATCAGCATGACTCATACCTCAATGACTTCCTACCCTCTCATCGATGGTACTCAATTCTTGTCATTAAGCAGTATCATTGAACCCGCTGAATATATCCAAATAGGTATCATTGTCGATTTCAAGAAGTTCAAAACGAATATAGAGTCCGCTGAAATATTATGGGTCGGCAAATCACCATTGCGAATTGACGAACGCAAAGGAAGAAAGAGTTTGCATCACACATTTTCTCCACCCATGTAAGTACGTACCCGACCCCAGCACATGTTCTCACCTGAGTTGTTGCTGTGTTTTTTGTTTTAGGATGCTTTCCCCAGGGGATACATTTTCCTTATGTATGGAGTACATCGACAAGTGCCTATGCTTGGAGATGAGGACAGAAAGAACTATCCTCGAAGCAGATGACATTCTCCACGCGTATAGTGCAAGCAAATTTAGACGAGGTGAAACAAGAATCATCGCATTCTTGCCTTAATCACTCACGAACTCAACCTCGCATGCGTAGCTTACATCAAGATTCATAAAAAAATCAGGATCATCATCAACCTTTCCATGAATACAACAACTGAAGTAAGGATCCACGTCCAGCATCGAAACTGTATAAGTCATAGATCAACGGACTGAGCAGTTTGGCCCTCCCGATGAAAGCCTTGAGCTCCCACCTACCACTTCCGAAATAGCTCGGATCCATCCCCGGTGGGTCAGGATGATCATAAAGTGCTATTCTTGAGGTTGACTCTCCTAAGGTTCCGAATTTTGATCGCAGGAAAGGTATCTGACTTTCGTCGATTTCAGGCCAGTGTTGACGACACGCTTGTAATAGACTGGCGTCGGCAAGTCAACATTGACCTACCTCATATTTGGAGTGAAGACAACGGTGGGCTGAACATGACGCTTCAACGAGCACAACTACTCATACTGTCAATAGATCATAGCCCATGATAAGCCAGGCGAGGCCAACATCGACCATGAGTTCATCTCTCCTCAGGACGACAGATTTGTTATCCACGACAGCAGAGGTTTCGAACCAGGGGAAGAAGACAATCTCAAAATAGTCCGAGATTTCATTGAACGTCGGAGGAACATGTCTCCGGAACATCAGTTGCATGCTATTTGGTAGTGATTCTATTTCGACCATTCCGTTATGGTGGACTGACCAAACACACGGAAGGCTTTGCTTTGAGATACCTCGTGCAGGCGGACGTTTGCTAGAGACGGGAACGGAGGAATTCCTCACGTGGGCAAGGAATGGAATGCTGGGAAACGGCAAGTGAATCGATAACTATCTCTGCTACATAGAGCTCACACTTTGTTCAAGTCCCTATTATCGTCGTTTTTACGAAATACGATAAACTCGTTGATCGCATGGATCGAACTCTAGACGAAACCTCTATCGATGGCTTGAGCAATGAAGCCATCGAGGAACTTGTCAAGAAAAAAGCAGAAGCCGAGCTGGAGGATACCTGTATTGGACCTCTAAATCAATTTGCAGGGCCTGATATTCCCCATGTTACGACCTCAGGTGTGTACCAATACTCTGACAGGTTCATGCATGCCTCTGAAGTGTAATATCGCAGCCGCAATAGACTATGAGGAGACACTCACCGACCTGATTCAGATAACTGAAAACTGTGTCGCTCAGCATTCTGCGTCCGAGGCTGCGGTGATGACTTCCTTCCGAGTCGCTCAACGAGTGCATCCTGGACTCAAAATAGAGGCATCAATTATGTGAGCCTTGCTTTCTTCATTCTTATCTTGTGATTTACGCAGTGTCAGGGTTGGCAAGATGAGTCTGTCCTAGTTTCGCGTTGATAATCACTGCATACAATCTAAATCTTCATGTCTTGCAGGATATCGGAAGACGCTTTCATTGTGCACAATATTCATGAAACACAAGATGCGGGATTGTCTATATGTGCTTCATACTGATATCGTCATGGTGTGGAACTTCCATGACCCTTCTGGTGTAATGGCTATCTTATTTTTCATCTTCACATCCACTCTAACGTGATTTGTGCATAGCACCTGCGTAGCCCAGAGTTCAGGGAAATGATGATGAAAATGGTCGAAGTTGGATCTACAAAAGGATATCGACACTTCTCTCTCGGCCACTCGGTGCTTCAGCGCTTCATGACCTACATCGTTGACTTAACACTTGTGTTCCAGACGCTTATGCCGTGTCAGAAAGCCAAGAAGTCACTCGTAGGGCCATCAATCTCGCAGTCAAGTCCTATATCGCCTCCCCAATGAGTCAAGAAGTTCGGATTCGGATTCAAGACTATGTTAGGCAAT